AATTATGAAGATTCCATGATTAGTGTCAACGTCCGGTGAATAAATCACTAATATTAAATGGAAAGCTGTTATTTTATGTAGAGGAAGGTCCAAACCGTCAAATTCAACCATTATGTACGCTGGATTTTCCCGTTCCCTTTTTCATTTTTACATGCAGAAGTCGCTGATCAAAATCTTTGCAAACATTAAGTATTAAGATCCTAGCATGTTATAGCTAATATGTAAGCATAAGCGTAAAATTAACTGTACTTTCTTTTTACAAGCATTAGATTAAAATCAAATACTAGAAAATTAAATTAAAATGAAATCTGTTTGACCAATCGTGCGCGTTAATCTCTCGACCGTATAAACAAAGCGCAAATTACTAAAACTTGTAGAAATTAAATATAATAAAATATAATAAAAAAATTAATTTTGAAATTACAATCTATTTTAATTATTTCGCTTTTGAAAAATTCAGTAAAAAAATTGGTTGGCAAACAAACAAACAAACAAGGTTGACATATTGAATAAACACATGATAAAAGTATTGAAAACAAATAACATTTTTGTTGCATTTTCTACAAGAGCAAATTTTTAATTATATTATTTTAATTGAAAATGCAAAAGAAATAAAACTTTTTACTGAATAATAAGTGCTTTTTTTCTTGTCTTGTTTACCTTGTCGATATAACCACTAGCACGCACAAAATACATTTTTTTTTTTTTCTATTTAATAATATTTAAAAGTTATATTATTAGCAACATTTACGCCCAGGAAAAAAGAGTAGAGAGTAGAAAACGTTAAACGATAAAGTAAAGAGCTATTAACGCCATAATCTCAAGAGAGATAATTAAACATAGAAAAGTCGCTACATTGCAATAATAATCGCTTATGAAAATTGATGGGAATATTCGCTTTTCTTTATCGGAATAATTACCAGCTCATAAGCTATTGTAAAAAGGATATAAGAAGAGATAACGGAATACATAGATGTTCAAAAGTGAGATTAGGAGATGATTAGGGACTTTTCATTATGATGCATTCGTTATCAATAACAGTACTAGCGTTGTTAATTAGCAGCCATTTGTATGCTTGCTCTTTCATTCCGATTTGTATCGACACAGATTCCGTGAATAGTTTCTTGACTTGACGTCACATTCTCTCAAGCGTTTTCAAAGCCGAAATATATAAAATAACACAAATCGTTTTTGCTTTCTTTCCGTGCGCAGGATATACTCGTTATTATTTTTCATAGCCGATCTCAATTCATAATCGATTAGTTTTTTAAACGAAACAAAAAAAACCATTAAAGAAATGTAAGGAAGTTATATACGGCTATAGTCAAGTGTTTTGCATCCGCTACTTTCATCTTAAAAAAATTCGAGAAAAAAGTCGGCAACACCGACTAATACCGTTATTCCTTCACTTTCATGCTTATACACTGAAAATTGTGCATTGCTTCATGAGAACTATTGTATGAGAAAAATAGCCCAACATGAACCGAACTTGATAAGTTAAAAAACATTACTAGTACGGATCAGTTTTTGGCACAGAAAATTGAAAATTACAGCTTTTTCTCATATGAAGATTGAGTTTTTTAAGGACCGGATAGCTGGGCGGCAGATCAAAAAATTTGCGGAATCTATGGAAATTGTGCATATCAATGTAGAATACCGAAATACCATATTCGGCAACTTTTGTCAGAAAATTGTGAAAATTATAAATTCTTTTCATATAGCGACTTTTTCAAATATAATGTTATACACGGCTCTGCGGTGGAAGCGCTCCAATCCAACTCATTTTCAACAGAATTCATATTGGTGCAAAGCACGTCTGTGTACTAAATATCATCAAAATATTTCAAAAATGTAGACCTGTAGATTGAATGCAGAAGAAAATGGAAGGACCCCGGAGAGACGAGTTTAAATTGATTCAGAATGGATTGGTACAAGAAGAATTTGTTCTACCTTGAGTCCCTCTGGACGTTGCATGCATCTCAATAATCGTAATATATCCTGTAGCACAAGTGATGCTGGATGTAGAAACATGTAGAGAACACATGTTATGACTAATTAACAAAAAGTCTAGAAACGAGAGCGAATTTCGATGAGTTTTCTACTATAAAGATGTTCTTTGATCGATTTGGCTTAACATATTTGCAAGCACTTCCGATGTTACTACCAAATTTGAAGTCAATAGTTTAATTTTTCCTACCATAGAGGTTAGAAGGACGTATACGTGGCTTGACGAACAGCGGCTAAACTATTTTGAGTGTGCACACAGGCACCACTCTACAGTCTTTTTAAAATATGCAAATCCTAACTCTATATACTCGTGCATATGCATGCACACACGTTCATAACAATTGGTTGAAAATCATGCTCTTCTCATTCTTACCAGTTTGTGTTCGTAAAAACTGTAATCGCTGAATATTAAAGGATAGGCTCATCAGCAGTTTTAATAAATTTCAAATAACCATTTGCTATGGACACAAGAGCATATAGCGGTGTCAATGGCAGACTATGTGGCTGTCAAACAACATAGGGTAGCACGCGTCTACTGCTTGTCCTTTATTCTATAGTTTATCATATTAATCGCCTCTGCCCGTTCTTGTCTTTTTCTCTTTTCATATTTTTGTTTGTTACTAATTTTCGAAAAAGAAAAAAATATGTTGTTCGGTGTGTACCTCACATTACATTTTGGATCTTAAAGCGTCAACGATAGAGGAACTCCAAGAGAATGCTTATGAGTTGAATGCTTCATTCAAAGAACCTTCGGCAAATGACGTTTCACATCGAATTTTATTGTCACATCTCAATTCATTTGTCTTTCCTTAAAATGATGAATGATGCAATAGATAACTTTGAACAATTTCCAAGTCTCCACGTACAATTGCAATACTCGCGCTTTTATTGGGACTTCCTTGCTTAGCATGTACGGGAACATAATGGATTATCGAACTTGAATTACAAAACCATTCGATCGTCATCGATTTTACTGCTGTCGAACCATGAATAGTTAACAATGAATGAGATGAATAGTTTTACATTGATATTTACATTAGCTTTTTCCACAGGTTTGGACATAAGCACTGTTTATACTAACTAAACATTTGTGGAAACCTCAGCCTTCAGACCTGTCAAGGATTGCGAATAATTTTAACCGATCACATTTTGCACATTTTGCTTTGCGAACAGTAAACAATGCCCTTTCACTGGTGTTTATTCAATGCATTCATACATTTTAAAAATATTTTATGCAAACAGTTCAAGAGGCACATTGATGACTATTGTATTTGTGCATTTATTTCCTCATACGATTGTGTTTGATTTTGTTTGTTTGGTTGAAAGTTTTCACACTAATTAAGAATGCCGAAATACTATTACTAAGTGATTTTTAGCGTAACATTCTAAAACTTACCATATATTTTCTTATAACGGGGAATGGCCGAACCATTTGCAATACTATTCATCCTTGGGTCAATACACGTTATCGTACGAAATTTCATTAAAATATTTCGAAAATTATTACCTGTAGGGTGAATACAAAAAATAGAGGGGGAGCATGATTCTGAATCCATCAATATGTTAACAGATGAGTCCACCTCAAGCCATTCCGGGTGGTACATACGCCCGCACAAACTTAATATACCATAAGTGTTGTAGGATTCAAAAATTACAAGGAAGAGTACGCAAATATTACCCATGTGAAATGCCGTTATCGCGCGTATACTAATCATCTTGAATGCTTTGTGATCAAGGTAAACTCTGTTCGCAAGTAACTACTTTTCCTTGCTTACTTACGTGTAAAAAATTTCTTTACGTAAACTATCTCCCAACAAGAGTAGATGCGAAAAAACGTACCGTTTCCACGTTTTTTTCGAAGCATGTGCTAGTCATGGACAATACTACAATTGAAGTGAATGGGAGCTTATCCTAGGGTAGCTGTTTAAGTTCCATCATTTTTAGACTGAACAGAGCCAAGTAGCATGATAGTCATGATGACAAAACTGTCTTTCATTACACTGATAATTTGCTAATTGCTTTAACTGCGGTATCATTATTAAAACCCTTTTTACTAAAACCATTACATCTCTCTTATAATTCTTACTCCCCAATCTCAATCCATAAATGATAAAATGAAAGGATGTCTTTTCTACATTCTATTTACGAAATTTAATAACATCCCAATCTCCCGTTGCATACCGCCATCTTGGTACGACTTCGAAGTTATCACCTTAAGAAAAAAGAATAATCTGTCTATTAATCTTAGCTTCCTCCTGTCCTTCGTATCGATAAGATTTCAACTAACGAACGTTCCGACATTTATTTGTAGAATCTCGTGAGGTTCCGATCCGCCCTGAACCCATATCCGACTGCTAAGGCCAAAACTAGAATAAGGTTGTTCTCTTTTATTGGATATTTCAGCTAAGGTTTTTACGCGATCTCCCCTCACGCTTTTAGCGTAGAGCAGATGACAACCGTTTTGCGCTTCTACGCGAAAGATTTCGTTTACGCGCCAATTTCGTCTGACTCAATCGCATTTCGCACTATGAGATTTTTATTGCGCTATATCATCTCAAAATTGTCTGGACAATAAACAAAAAAATGTATATATATATACATATATATATATATATATATTCATCTACAATCGAGCTACCGCCAAATTTATTAAAGTTGGAACAAAGAACTTCATATCCACATTGAACCTTTCCTACCTGAGATAGAGAATCATCTATTGTTGATTTACTGAATTGAGTAAGAGGAAGAAGAAGATATATTATTTATCTCTCAAATAAATTTATTTTGTTTCTAGATTTGTTGAAAGTACGTCCCGGACCTCAAGGATTTTTATATAATCTATCAACTAAATTATCGAATATATGCAAACCCAAGCACCGCGTAAGTGCCTACAACTGATTACATACGTTCATCAAATCAATTAATAGTTGGAATAAAAAAACGAAAAGCAAAAAACAAGTTTCGAACAATATCTCAAAATAAAGAAGTTAAAAATGCCGTCCATCAAAGAACACTTTAAAGATAAAGCGAGTATAAAAACTAAGCAATCAAAACGTGAGGGCAAGTTAAGCATTAATGAAGCGTTGTCTATAAGCTCGTGTTCGATAGAGTCTTGTTTTTTCAAAAATGGCATTTGCGACGAAGAATATCATAAAAGATGGCGAGCAGACAATTCTACAAACAGTGAGAGCAACAGCTTTTGCACTAATATTAGTAATAAGCGATCAAGATTATCCGGAGGTAAAGTGAAATGGAGTCACAACAATAAGTGATTTTAACGAAGTTCTGTTGCAGGTATTGACTCGAAATGTTCGTGCAAGTTCAAAAAACTTGATTCAAAATCATCAAAAGTCAATGTAATCGATCTCAAATTGGGCGATGCTTATTCACGTGTTAGTATTGAATATTTTAAACCCCCAGAATTAAAGCCTAGGCATCGGAAAGTTCGTGGAACACAAACTCTTTACAGGCAAGCTTGATATCTTTTAGCGAAAGTTAAAGTTTCTTAAAATATCTTTTTATGCTATTTTTAGAGAATCCTCTGCCCAGACGTTACCCTATTTACCGGGCATTTCAAATGATCCTCAAAGCATTCTAGATATGGAACTTTTCAAATTGCCCACTATCTTACCAGGAGATGGACCACCTGGTCTTTACGAAGTTGAAGTTTTGGAAAGGGCTCGAAAACGTTGGACTTTTTTGAAAGCTTTAAAAGAGAAGGTCAGACATCAAAAAAAAGCTATCCGTGAGCAAGCACAGCAAATCATACCCAAGCACATCCTGATGGCATTCGAATGGGAATATTGGATTGAACGTGAAGAATACATAGAAGAATGTCAAATGATACGCCTAGAAATATTAGTGCGCATGTTCAATAAGCGTGAAACTTCGATGCGCAGTGCTTCCAATAAAAGCATAGAAATTAGCTATGAACGAATCCAAAATAAGAAAAAGGCAGCTCTAAGAAAAAATAAACTTGAATACGACCGGGCAATGAGGAGGTTAAATATCAAACATTCAAAGGAATCGCGCGTATGGCATAAAGAAAATGTTAGCTATGATCTAGACAATCCTAGTTCAGAATACTATGCACCCAAAATGCGTTATGGGGTTAATCCAAATAGACGTCATTATAAAGCGTTACGCAAAGGCTTTGATATACGTATGGAGGATTTAGAAAAGCAAGTCGTTAAAATGGACCCCAAGGACCTCAAGTGCCCATTCGCAAAAATCAAAGCATTATCGAAACCTAAGGAAATGTTGAGTGAACATGAGCGGAACTTTTGCTCTGATGTCAACTTGAAAAAACTATATGAAGGCTTAAGAGTAAGTTAAATTTCTAATAACAAGTAGACAAGGACGTATTTGTTTTGTCCATTGCAGTTATTGCGGAAGACTACCGAGCAACGTAACCAAGATACTAAGTATCTTATCTTGCGTGCTGGCGATAGCGATGAAGGTGTAGATGACGATATAATAGACGAAACAAAATCTCTTAACGATGGCATTAACACTATTAAACTGAATGTTACTTTATCCAACGAAGTCGCAGTAACACATAATCAGAGCGCAGAACAGGCGACTCTGGAAAGTATGTATGAAGCGCCCAAACAAAAGCAATACCGTGAGGAACTCAAAAGGGAGAAGGAATTAAATAAAATAAATATGGATAAACTAAATGTGGAGCTTTTGCGCGAAGAAAAGGAAAATATTCACCACATGTACGAGGGCCTCACAATCGGATGGTTGATGCGTTTTCTGGCAGAAGAAATGGAGCGAGCACAGGAACAGCGCAGATTACACTTTTACTATATGTTAGCTCAAAGAGAGCGATGGCGTCGCGAAGCTCTTGAAGCTGGCTTACGACAAAAGGAGAATTGCTTGCGCTCCCATTACGAGACGCTTTACAAACAATGCTCGATTGCCAACACAGCCGTTGTGCAGAGTTACTTAAATGAAATAATGAATGAAGACATAGTATGTCATGCTGATCATGAAGCGGAAGAACACGTAGTCAAGTTGGCTAAACAAATTGACAGAGATGTGGATAGTTGGTTGCAATGTTTCAAAGCACACCAAAGACCTCTAGATTATGACGTAATACGATGTAATTTACGTAGAAACATAATGTCAGACCTCAGCGAGTTACAGTGTAGGCAAGAGAGTAATAAAATGGTAGACTATATTATCGAAGAAGTTTTGTTGGTAAATGTTTTCGCAAAACTAGATACTCATGACATCTGCACAGTGACAACCGAGGAATTTATTGATCGCCTATTTGATACCGATTTGTATTATGAATCTACTATAACCAGTTCTATGGGAGAGGATCGCCTAGCTGAACAAGAAGCCCGTTCCATAATGCGGAAACTTGTACGATACTCCGTGCCAGGCAGACGTTACCTTACGCCATCCGAGCGAACGGTCGCAAACAACGTTGATGACATTTTGGATGTGGTGATGGACAAACTAAAAAGTCATATTTCCGCAGAGCAAACTGAAACACCAGTTACGCAATCCATGGCGTCATTGTCATTAATTGGAATTGATTTTCCAATCAAAAAGTCGCGTCGTGCATCATCAATACCACAAGGAAGATTGGGTGAATTGGAAACTGGTAGTTGGCATAGTGATGTTGAAAAAGTTATCACCTGTACTAAGGAATTAAATCGGGAAGAAGAACTTTTGCTTGAAGATCCAGACAAGATTTCACTTGATCGAATGGTGGTAAACGTAATTGATTATAGTATTCCTTCCGACGAGATCGAAGATTTTCGAACTGTTTCTGTAGCACGAGCAATACCTAGCACTCATGACATGCAATTATATAAAAGTTTTTCTGACATTCCAAAGCGCACGTATGTAGAAGATACTGAACGAGGACGAATTTCAGATGTGGAGGTTGAATTATATCCTTTCCTTCCTATAAAATCTGGTAACAATTTTTCCTATGTAGATGTATAACCCAGCTTCAATTTCTTTCCTTTCCATATATAGAGGAAGAAGGACAAAATGTGGAAGAAGATGAAATCGTAAGAGGAGAAGAATATATCGAAGAAGAAGAGTTGCAAACCGACAAAATCGTAGCAGCAGAAGAATCTCGACAAAGTGTTAATTTAAGTTTACATCAACCCCGAACAACTCTACCTACACAAAGAATAGAAGCTAGTTTTCTTTTGCGTCCATCATCAGCCCTTTCTCGAACTTCTCAAAAACCTCGATCAATCTATAAAGAATCAGTAACACTAAAGAAACCGACTTTATCAACTAAGGGTAGGCCAACATCGGCTGAAGACATAAAAAAGAAAACAAGTAGTACAGTTACATTTTCCCGTTAAACGCTTTAATGAAGCTTATGCATGTTATATAAATACAAAATTACCAAACTGATAGACGTTTTTTGTTGAATTAGTTTAGCCTCAAAAGCTCAATTTGTAGCAGAAAATCAAAATTAATAAATTAAAAGTCTGATACAATTCATTCACAATTCGCGAATTTGCGAGTTATTTTCTTTTGAGTGGTCATAGCTTATTTTTGAAATTTTTTCTAGAAAATTAAATCATAATTATTTTTGCGAAGCCCAAGCCCAAGCATTGCGTTATATTATTGTATTGTGCGGAAAGTATTTTTTTAATCCGTATTATGTGTATAGTATGCAAACCGGACTTCTTTACTCCAAGTGAATGAAATATTGAATGAGAACCGTTTCAGACACGTTGTAATATTTCGCTATATGTATAGTTCGCTTCATTCGTTCTGCCTGTCTTCTATAATATTTACCAGGTTATGGGATCTTTTTTACTCCCCACTTTTCTTTTGGGCCAACATCCTTGAACGATTCCTTATTCCAATTTTCTTGATTAATAACATCTCTTCTATCCTACAACTTGTGACCATATTCATATGTAAACGAACAATTTAAGAATTAAATCGAATACGATAGCTTAAATTCTTAACTCTAATATTTTTTTACGTAGCCGCTATTGAGATCTCATATGCATGAATTGAAATTTCCTTAGTTTCAAGTCCAATTTGTTGGATTCTTTTCTAAATAAAGAAAATGTCTGCGTTGTCAACCTGTGTCTTGAATGTCAGACAGCCCATGCTTGGGGACGAATGCACTACGGAAGTGTCTCTACTAACGATCTATCTCAGATACTTAACAACGTAAGACGATGCAATAAGCCCCTTCGAGGCATAAGAGCTCTGTCTCGATTAACTACTGCCACTACATTCTCAACCCAACCCAAGGAGAGAGAAAATCAAAAAATCTTAATCAATCCTCGACGGAACGTTGCATTCGAACCAGCAAAAGATTTACAAGATATTGTTATTTCTGATGGTCTAGACACTGCCTAGCAGCCAGAGTTACTTGGGCGAGCACATAAGCCAAAACGAAGCTAAAATAACTTCTTAAAGATTTTCTGTAAAAAATCCTGAACGAGCAAGGGCTCAGGGCGAAAAAAATTGTGGCCGGAAAACAGGCTAAGCACTGCGAGCGCTGATGAGTTATGAGCCTTTAGGAGGCACCTAGGTGCGTATAGCTTACTAGTGCAATCTTCGATGTCGCGAAGCTTAATAACGGTGATAAGCGTGGTAGCGTGAACAATTCTTCTTCCTCCAACATTGGCAGCCCACCGATATGCTCAGCAGTTGAAGCTGCGAACATTCATATTGCACGCAAGTGGCAGTATGGCCCAGATACCAGGCAATGCGCTACCTTTCATCCAGACAGTAGAATCGGCGCAGCTGAGAATCATCCCATGTTATTACCTAAAAAATTCATAAAACGATGACAAATTGAGGGCGACACGTATACGTCAAATCAGGCAGTAGAAAGAATACAGAAGTGTTAAACTCCCAAACTGGCTTCGAAGCTGGTCAAGCCTTTGACGAAGTTCACAATGTTGCCTTTCCCTAAGATTCAGCAGTCCGTGGGGGAGCAAACGTGCCGCACGTGAAATGAACCTCTACGCAACGCCCAAATCATCGACAAAGAACCATCAACGGAAAATTCATATTCGATGTCTAGTTTGCTCAATAACGACAACCGTAAACCGACCGAAAATTTCTTGTAATTTATTGTGCAATTAAAAGAAAGCGATAGATTTCCTAACGATGTTGAACCTTCTGCATTTATACTGCTGACTCTGCAGTTCTGCATTCCTTCCAGATCCCCCAAGGAACATCGTTGATCATTTTTAAAGAGGCGTTGTCATATGTATGATTGCTTATGGGTCTGGGAGATATTTTATTTTATATTTACTTTTGTTTCATCACATCAACGCCGATTTGCTATCGGAGAATATAGTTATTTTTTTATGTATATTGGATTTAACAAACACAAATCGAGAACTTAATGTTAATCAAAAATATATGTACATCATGGGGACTTGAAATGTTCTTTCTGGCTGTTGGGAACATTCTGATAACTTCTTGGATTCCTCGCTGGTGGGTATAAAAATGAATCAATATTTGTATGAAGAATTACAAAAAAGGTCCAACTTCCCTACCTTCCTTTTCTGTTACTGATAATTAAATTTTTTTTTAAGTTACATGATCGCATGTAATACGTTTTGTTAATGCTTGTTCAAGTCCCGCTTGAAGAACAACAGCTGAGTTGTTTTGAATATACAAACAGACGCCACTTTACAGTCTTTTTAGTTTATCCAAATGCTAAATCCATACAAATCGATGTTAAAACTTTCATTTACTGTGAAGCACACGCACGCGCACGCGCACACATTCATAACAATGGGTTGAAAATCATGCTCTTGTCATTCTAGCCAGTTTGTGTTCGCAAAACCAGTAGTCGCTAAATATTGAAGGATAGGCTCATCAGCAGTTTTAATAAATTTCAAATAACTATTTGCTATGGACAAAAGAGCATGTAGCAATGTCAATGGCAGACTATATGCCCGTCAAACAGCACAGGGTAGCACGCGTCTATTGCGCGTGTGTCTTATTGTATAGATTATCATATTAATCGCAGCTGCCCGCTTTACGCCGTCATGACTTCTTTCTTTCCCCTATTCATATTTTGGTTTCTTACTAATATTCGAAAGCCGGAAAACATGTTAGCTATGCATTTTACTATGAATTTTAGATCCTATAGTGGCAACGACAGGGAAACAAAAATATGACTGATTAGACATAAGTTGAATGCTTCATTGATAGTAACATGAGCAACTTGCGTTCCTCATCGAATTTTATTCTCGTCCGTCGAAAATTACACTTCACAAGCTCGTTGCAATATCCCCTTTTTTATTACTGCACTTTAAAACGTTATGGAGCGTATGTATAATCAAACTTAAATTACAACGCCATTGAGACCGTCACCAGTTTTATTGGACTCGCGTCATGGAACATTAACAATCATATGAAGAGTTTTAGATAGATAAATAGATATCTTTGTAGTATTTCGCTTTATTAAGGTTCTCCGTACAAAATTTTACACTAGTTTTTTTTCGCAGATTTGGGCGTAACTACTAATTGTGATAACTAGGCATATGTAAAAATCTCACCTTTCGGGCGTCTAGAGAATTGAGAATAATTTTAACCGGTCACATTTTTGCACATACTTTGCGAACAGAGCACAATATCCTTCCATTTGTGTCTATTTAACGCTTTCATAGATTTTAAAAATATTTTATGCAAACACTTCAACAGACACACTGATGGGTATTGTATTTGTGCATTTATTTCCATATACGATTGTGTTTGTTTTTGCTTGTCTCTCTCTATTCATTCAAGTTTAATAGAAAAACACGTCTACCGCGTGTGTTCATCCCCCTGAAATGCGTATACGAGATACAACAAACTTTTTGTTCCTAATATGTGCGGAAGAAAAAAAATAATGGTAAGACTCTCATCCCGTTTAGCTACACTTCTCCTTCTATTCATCATCTATTATTATGTCCTAATGTTTAATTATAGAGTTTTTGAACTCTCACAACGAGAAGAATCTATGTATACCTATGCTTAGCTTAGCATATAAGCTATTTTTAAAAATGTCCGACGAGATGGGCGTTCAAAATTCGCTTAAACTAAAACAAATATAATATTCTTAGTGGTTAGTTAGTTGAATGGAAATGAACAGTTGCGTCTATATGCCTGTGCTCGTGCTGGAGTCATTGAATTTTATTAAATTTCTCACTTCAGTAGACAATACGCGAAAAACCTGTTTTTTGCTTTTATTTTGTATAAATACAAAAAAGTACAGATGTATACATATACAAGAGCATATTAGTACTACTCGTTCTTATTCCGCTTGTGTCACGCATTACAACCGTACGGAATTTTCATAAGATTTTGTCAATCTATTAATCTATTACCCGATTTTTTATAATATTTTTGTCTGAATACTTATGCACATAGAATATAACTATAAAATATTATGACTACATCTCGGTTCGATATTTGTGAAAGCTAAAAAAGATAAAATTATTAAAAACAAATTTGATGGCCTCTCGCAAACTGATCACACGAAAACTTGGTCCATTTAGGATTTTAATGTCCGAAAGATCAGATTTTCTAAACGTGCCAAGACTTTATGTATTAAACGTTTATCAGAATTAAATTATTGGCAACGCAGTTTCCCGCACTCCACTCATCAACTCCTTTCATTTGGTAACTATATCAAAGGTATTTTTTAAAAAATACTTATCAACTACCATTTCGTGACGCCTACTTTTTAATACGCCACAAGTAATTTAGAATAAACACATTTAGCTTAGCGCATTCTACTCTGCGAGTTCTTTTATTTGATACCCATGTCGCTGGTATGAAAAGAAAATTAATCCACCACGTCGCGGTGCCTTCAACATTCATTTTAGACTTAATCCATTTTTAGGCAGCAAATATATCTACATTTGATATATGTACACAACATCCTGTCTTGTTTGCTTTATGATAAATAAGAATTAAAACTTAAAAAAGTGAAAAAAAAAATGTAATCACTTGTAACTTTGTATGGGCATTATTGAGTGTTTCGGGAAGTAAATGCGGAAATTATCAGTCTTCTAGCTTTTATAATTTCCGAGTAACGAGCAAAAGCTAAGAAAAACGGTATTGTCTTCAGTTTTTGCTTCCCTGCAGGCTTCTGACGCAACCAATTCCGCCCATTTTTAATACCAACCTACGCGCGAAAACTGAAGAGTACCAGCAACAAACACAACACAGGCGAACAGACATGGTTTAATCAATTCAGAATTTCACCCTGATCAGGAATAAATATGCTTTGCAGGATCTCTGAAGCTTCCTTTTCGGTGCAGCATACATTATGGGAAAAAAACCAATATACGTATGCTCCCATCCTTTAGTGGTGGATATAATAACA